ACTTGTGTCTTTATGTAGCTATATAATCTTCTTCAGAAAAGTGTAAAATAGTTGCTTTTAGGAAAAATCAGTCAGTGACTGAAAAGGCAAAACAGCCTTAACCCCAACACTTCATACTTGTGTTCTTGTGTATCTTGATTTTTCCCTTGTGTCTTCTTCTGTATATCCCCAAACCATAGTTATCTTACAGTTGATGAACTTTAGTGCAACCCAGTACCTCTTCTACCCCTTTTGTGGTGCCTTTTGTAGTGCCTTGCACATGGGTTTTAAGTAAATGTTTAAACTGAACATTGGAAGGTAGGACGATGGTCATTTTTTGAGAAATTAATCCTCCTTCTCTGTGTTGACCAACACAATTGTTTAGCAATAGGGTAGTTTTACATATTTTGGTAAGTCCAGAATTCTGACATGCTTTTCTGGTCAGATTATCTGAAGACAGTAGAAACAAGAAAGAGAAATATTTATTTCTGTATTATATCACACTATCTTGGCAATAAGCAAATGTGTGAAATCTTTGAAAGTGCTAGAATGATAAAAATTTTCAATTGCCATTATTTCCATTTTATGGAAACCCACAGCTTTACTAAGTATATGAATAATTAACTTGACTTCATTCTGGTTAAACTTTGAGAAAGAAGTAGTAGGCACTTGATTCACTGGTATTTGCTGGATAGGAAGTAGCAAGCATCCTTTACAATATGCCAATTTTATCAGCCTTATAAAAATTGTTCAAGCAAAGATTATATGCTCAGAAATAAATTCCGTGGGCCGGCCCGGTGGCGCACTGGATAGTGCGCCGCTTGGGAAGCACGGCGGCGCTCCTGCCCGAGGGTTCGGATCCCACATACAGACCGGTTCCCGCTCACTGGCTGAGCGAGGCGCGGGAGCAACACCGAGGGTTGCGATCCCATATTATTATTATTATTATTATTATTATTATTATTATTTGTACTTGTATAGTTTCTATCCTTTCTTTCACTCTATTCATTACAGGAACGTTTTTTCCCTATTGAATTTTGTTTCTAGGAAATTTGGTTCAACACCATCCAAGTTCTTTTTTTTTCTTTAATTTTTTTTTTTTGTGCCTGGCTGTTATGGAGATCTGAACGCTTGTCCTTGGTGTTATAACACCATACTCTAACCAACTGAGCTAACTGGCCAGCCCCATCCAAGTTCTTTATAACAGTAATAACTACAACCATAATATTAACAACACATAGAACATTTACTTATATGCCAGATATTATTCTAAATGCTTTACATGTATTAACACTTAATATGCATAACAAACGTAAAAGGAATGTACTATTAGCCCCATTTTCTAGCAGGGGTACTTGACAGCACAGAGAGGTTAAGTAACCAAGATTGCAAAGTTAGTAAGTGGTAAAATCAGCATTTCAGCCCAGGAGGCTTCTGCTGCAGAGTCTGTGGACTTAATCACCAGGCTAACCTGTAGGCCTTAACAGATATTATCCTCATAATGTTTCTCTATTTTATTTTTTTCTTTCCTGTTTACAACATCCTGGTCCAAAGCCTCATTTCATTCATTCTTGTGTCCTTGTGTATCTTGACCTTTCACTCACATTTTTCTTTGTATCCCTCCAAACTGTAATTATCTCACTGCTGATGAACTTTAGTGCAACCCAGTATCTCCCTTAGATGCTTCTGAGAGGTGGAGGGCTTTTTGTTCTTCCAGACTCAAGAATTTACCTATACTCTATATCCTAAGTAGGAGAGAGTGGCTATTCATCCGTTTTAGAATACATCAATGATCTGGAAGTGCCTTTCAGATCTGAAGCAGGAACTTGCGGGGAGGTGTCTTAGGGAAAGAGAACACTTCAGAACAGGAAAAGCCATCTTTTTCTGGGTACAGTAGGAATGACAAAATGTAGTAGAGGCAGGCTCCTCTTGACTACTCTCTGACAAGGCTATGAATTTAGAGCTTTGCAAAAAAGAAGCCAGGTTTCTTCTTAAGGTAGAACCAGACTTGACAAATGATTGTGCTGCAGGTACACACGGGTAGAGAAGATAGTACTTCCATATATTCCTGAGGTTGAGAATTCCAGGAAGCTTAAAAGATGGTTAGTACAGGAGAGGATGAAGACCTGGAAAGGTCTTTGGGGGCAAGAGATGGAAGTACATTCCTCTCCTAAAGAAGCCAGAAGGCCAAGACTAAAGAGAACACATTCCAGAGCCAGAGGAGAGGAAGGAGGCCCTGGGAGGCACTGAAAATCCCACCTGTCAGAGCAATGGTTCCTGTCTTCTACAGGTTAGGCCACATTGGTGGAGATATACTGCTGACTGTAGGCTGAATTTGGCTCACAGATGTGTTTTGTCTGACATGCTTTCATGTTCTTAAGAAACGGAATGAGTTGCCAACATTTAATGTTTGGGAGAGTTCGCCCAAAAACTTGGATTTCTGATATCTTTTGATTTTCTTTTCTTTTTTTTTTTTTTAAAAAAGATGACCGGTAAGGGAATCTTAACCCTTGACTTGGTGTTGTTAGCACCACGCTCAGCCAGTGAGCAAACCGGCCATCCCTATATGGGATCCGAACCCGGGGCCTTGGTGTTATCAGCACCGCACTCTCCCGAGTGAGCCACGGGCCGGCCCATCTTTTGATTTTCTGATCTTCACATTCCCACTTGGAAATGAGTAGTGGCTGTGCCCTTTAGACTGGCTGCAGTTCTCTGGCTCTTCAGTCCCTTTCACTGTCAATTGTTTTTACATCTGCTTACCCATTCACGTTATCTGCTTTGCTTGCTGGACATTAAGTTTGCCACCCGTGGACTGCATCCTGAGTAGCTTAGTTCAGTTTATATCACCTTCCAAAAGAAGCACAAGGTAAGTGGGAGTTGGGGAGATAGCACGTATCTCATTCAGGAGCTGGTTTTGGGGAGAGAGAAACCCTTTTTAAAAGGAAAGTGTTATAACACCAAGGTCAAGGGTTCAGATCCCTGCACCAGCCAGCTGCCAAAAAATAAAAATAAAAAGGAAATGGACCACCATGAGATATCACTACATACTTATTACAACGGCTAAAATAAAAAACAGTGATAATGCTGCAAAAGATGGGGAGAAACTGGATCACTCATACATTGCTGGTGGCAATGTGAAATGATAGTCACTCTGGAAAATAGTATGGCAGTTTCTTATTCTTAAAAAAACTAAGTATACACTTACCATACAACCCATCAATCATACTCTAAGGTATTTATCCCAGTGAAACAAAAACTTGAGTTCACACAAAAACCTCTATACAAATGTTCAGAGCAATTTTATTCATACTGGCAAAAAACTTGAAACAACCCAAATGTACCTCACCTGGGGAATGGATGAACAAACTCTGGTACATCTATACAATGGAATACTACTCATCAACAAGAAGGAATGAATGTCTGATACCTGCAACAACTCAGATGAAACTCAGAGGCACTATGTTTGGATAAATACATCAATGTCAAAAGATTACATGTTGTACAATTCCACTTATATAAAATTTTTGAAATGACAGAATTATAGAGATGGAGAACAGATTAGTGGTTACTGGATGACATGGATGGAGTGGGGGATGGGTGGAGCAGAGGGCAGATTTGTGAATACAAAAAGGTAGTATGAGGGAGTTCTTTCGTGGTGATGGAACAGTTCTGTCTTGATTGTAGGGGTGGTAACATGAATCTATACATGGGGTAAAGTTGCATTGAACTACACACACAATATGCACACACACGTGCACACAGAAGGATGCAGATTTTAAAAGTGGTGAATACTAAATTCTGTAGTCTAGTTAACATTACCATTTGTACCATTGTCAATTTCCTGATTTAGATATCTTATTAGAGCTTTATAAGATGTCGCCATTGGGGGAAGTTGGGTGAACGGTAAATGGAACTCTTTGTACTATTTTTGCAACTTCTTGTCTCTAATTATTTCAAAATAAAAAGATAAATCTATAATTATTTTAAAATTTAAAAAATTTATAAAAAGGAAAGTAGGCTGAATGCTTAGGGCTGGCGTTCGGGGAGGTGACCGAGAAGAGCATGGAGAGGCAAATTGAGGCCGAGAGATACTTCCAGAAGTTTAACTTATAAAGAGACTAAACTTGCTCCTCGATCACTTCTGCTATCACTATTCTGCCCATTTTACACAGCTGTTTCACTATTGTTTCTTTGTCATGGTACTGAGCAGAGAACTAGATTTATCCCTATTATCGGCAAACCATTGTGTGTAATCTCCAGGTCTTCAGCCCTTTTCAGTTATTAGTTTTCTCATTACCTAATACTGAGAGTCCCCATTTTACACAGCTGTTTCACTATTGTTTCTTTGTCATGGTACTGAGCAGAGAACTAGATCTATCCCTATTATCGGCAAACCATTGTGTGTAATCTCCAGGTCTTCAGCCCTTTTCAGTTATTAGTTTTCTCATTACCTAATACTGAGAGTTGGCTTCTTTGCTGCAAGAGGTGTTTTTTATTTAACATATGAATTTGATGCCATTGCAGATGCTAGAAGTTGCCAGAAGGCTATCCTCCAGATAACTGTCCCTTGCTCTAGCTTGTAGCACTGTTTTGCTGCAATTAACATTCAGAATATGCACTGTCATCTTATTAAAATTTATATTTCTTAATGGAGAAAGCACATGGAGAGTTGATTGTGGAGCTGTGGGTTAGCCTTGCTCTTCTTAGTTACCTGAGTCTAAATTAAGCTGAACCTGTGGGCCTCAGCTATTTCTAAACAGGCCTCACGATTTACTGAGGTTAATGCCTGGGGGAACATTAACCTTGCAGACACTAATCTAATTCAGTGTCATCACAAGTGCATAATACAGGAGTTTGGAGTTTTGCCAAAAAGCACTATTCAAATGAACATTCAGTTGGCAAGGGGTGGGAAGGTGGGTGTGGACAAGAGGAGAAATCCAGAAATGGTTATATAGATATTCGAATGACTCTTCCTTTCCCTCTCCCCTCAAAGGTTATGTTTAAGAATTGTAGAGAGGCACTAAATAAAAATCTTCATTTTATTATGAAAAATCGTAATGAAGGTGTTTCATCCCGCAGCAAGTTCCTGATGTTCATAGTCACTGAGCATCTTTTACGTTACACGCTGACCACATTGTTCTACGGTGAGGACACAAAGATGAGTGACTGTAAACCATCGCAGTATGCACAAGCACCTCAAAGCATTAATTAATGTGAGTTGAATTAACATTAAGAACTTCACCATTAAGGAGATCACAATTTGGCTAAGGTTACTTAAAGAGTCCCCAAATGATGAGACAACTGTACAATCCTAGCTCTGTGTAGATCATTGCCAAGTCTTTGCCACACAGCCCCAGAAGGTTTGGGCTTTAGATGATCTGAGCAGAAAATACTACGTTAAGACCCTGCCCAACAGGGCCAAGGGCCGGATTTCTTGCTCTTTCTTTGTACTCACACACTGCATCTCAGTTCGCAGACACTAATAAGGCTTGCCAGTTTCAAGAGCGCAGGGATGCGTCTTCCGGAGAAGTGGCATTTGAGGTGGTAGCGGCCAACGACTGCAGGTGGCGGGGGAGAAGGCTAGGTAAGAGGATAAACTAAAAAGCCAACAAGTTCTGGCCGATAACCTTTCACCTAGGTCCACACCCCTTCCAGTTCCCCGGCCGTGAAACGCTCCCGACCCGCAATCCTCCACTTCTCGGGGCTCTAGGCGTTAATTAAGGCTGAAGTGGGCGGGGGTGTTAACCCGCTCTCAAAGAGATTTCCTCAGTTCCGATCCTTTTCAATTCGCTTCCCTCCTGGGCCTACCCTGGGGGGCCCGCGGCTCTGGGCCAGCTTCCCCGGCCACGCTAGGCTGGTGACACGCAGGCGCCGGAATCGAAGCCACGCAGGGTCTTCCCAGACAGGTCGTAGCGCCAGGAGAGGGCGGACGCCGCGGAGCGCCTCCCGTGTGGTGGTCTTCCCACAATGCACCGGGCCGGCAGTGGCGGCGACCGCGGCGGCGCTCTAGCCGCGGCATGTCTGCGTCTCTACTGCTCTGGGAGGAGGAAGAGAAGGAGGAAGAGGAGGAGGAGGAGGAGGGGGAGGAAGAGGAGAAAGGCGCAGGGGTGGGAGCTGTTGCCGAAGCTGCTACAGCAAAAGTTCTCCTCCCTCCCCCCTTCCCCTCCTCTCAAGGCCCCTAGAAAGGTTGGAGCCGCCGCCGCTTGCAGTCGGTGACCGCGCGACTCTGCGCCCGCCCGCGGTAAAGCGCTGGGCCTGGCAGGCCCGGGCCCAGGGGAGGGCGGGGGAGGGGGAAGGGGCGGCGCGCGGGGGGTGCGCGCGGCGGTAAACGGCCTGACCCCGGGGGGAGCGAGCCGTGGCGAGACTGGGGGTGGTCGGGGGAACGGCCGAGGCCGAGGGAAACGCAGGGGCTGGCTGGGGTACGGGAGGAAGCAGGGCGCGGATGGTGGGTAGGGGGGTTGAGAAAGGATAATGACGGGGGTGGCGGAGGCGAGAAGGCGGCCTCCCAGGCTTGAGGGGGGTGTCAGAGGTAGGGAGGGAGGTGGGATGTTTGCATGGGGAGGCCAGAGAGTGCTGGGTGTGGGTGTGAAAAGGCTAGGGAGACAGCAGGTCTCTGTCCACCGTGCCTGGTGCAGTGTTTTATGCACCGCAGGCCTCAGTCACTGTTGCTGCCCAAGTGTGCTCTTTCGGAGAAGGGAAGGGCAGGGGTTGGAGAAAAGGGAATGCTTGCAGGAAACATAGTGGGAGTGTGAACAGGGAGAGAGGCCGGAGGAAAGATGCCGAATAGGTGGAGGAATGCAGGGGGTGGCTGTGGAGGAGTCTTGAGGATTCCGGGGGTGTTCATTGTTGCAGATACGTTAGGTATTTCGTTATGGAAAGAACTGAAGCGTTTCTAAGGAAAGGAAAGAAGGGCTATAGGAGTTTCCGTGAGTAGAAAAGACAGCGTCTGAAGCAAGAGGGAGTGCTAAATATTAGAGAAGATGCAGGGAATGCATAATAGAATACACAGATGTAGTATAATTAATAAATGTTAGTCCAAGGACTAAAGAGTTATTCCAGATGGGCCGGGATGGCCTAGTTCCGAACCTATTTGGGCTCTACAGTAGATGACATCTGGTAAGTGTGGGTCCCGGCTGTGGTTGGGGTCACTGAAAATTAGACCTTCCTTTGTAATTTGGTCTGAGACATTTTAGACCTGTACCAGCAAATATGAGAACCTCTGAAACAGACCTTGTGGAAGGGCCTGGCCTACGGGTATTCTCTAGGCCATGGAGTTTAGATTTTAGCAAATTTGAAGTATTGTCACTTACCAGAGGCTGGGTGAACACTATCTTGGCAGATGCTGGAATGGAAATTACTTGACTTGGCGGTTTTCTTCTTCACTGCCTAGCTTATCTGGTCCAGGAGAACTGGTGCCACATTATTCAGTCTGGATTGCAGTACACAAGATTATAATTAATGGTGGGGGGAGTCCATGCTTGGTGGCCCTTCTTTGGAGGCTCCATTTGTATCTCAAATTAGTCTAGTTGGCTGGATTGACTCCATAACTCCCAGGCTGATGGGATATCTTTTGCCATTCATAATTTCTGATGTACTCTCTCATGAGGCATGGTGGTATGGAAGAAAATGTATCAGCAAGCAAAATGTGTTCCTACAGAATAGAAGATCTAGAATATCTGTTTTGGTTTTAGGTTGCAAGGAGGTCAGGACTGGTTATCAGGAGGTCTAGGGGAACTTGAAGAGACTGGACGATTCTAGAGCCAGGTTGGAGGGAGGATTAGCATTTCTATATCAGGAAATGAACCAAGCTCTCTCAGTTGGATTTGCTGAGCTCACACCAGACCCTATTTCCAAGAGGGAAACTGTGGGCTAGATCAGTCCTCTTAAAATTTACCTGGATATTATTCACCTTTTGTTATTAAGAAAAACTATATACTCATTACATTGTAATATTTCTTTAACTGAAGAGAGGATAATAAGAATGTTAATTATGCCAGATCTTTTTATGGAATTAAAGGGCAAAGAGATTAATGGGGAAGATGGAATGAAATTTGGGAGAGGGAAGGGAAAATTCAGTCATTCATTCCTTTAGCAAATATCTCTAAAGGAGGATGATAATTTAGTATTAGAGTGGAGAAGGGCTTTATTTTTTCAATACAAATAATCCAGGATTATTATTTTTTTAAAAATTGGAAAATTTTCTATGTCAGTACATTTAAATATACTCATTCTTTTAAAGGGCTTCATTATATTACATAGTATGTTGTGCTCATTTTTATTGTCATCATAGAATGAGAGGACCAGTTTTTCTTCCCATCCCCTTACCAGCACTGTATATTACCTGTTCTTTTAATTTTTTTAAGTATAATGCACTTTAATATAGTATGTCATTATTGTTTTTCTCCCCTTTTAAGTTATTATCAAATGATACATGTATGTAATTTTAAAAATTGTTCTGTGGGGACTTATAATGAAAAGCAGTAATCCCTGTCACACCTGTCCATTGCAGTGCCACTTTCTAGAGGATATTACTTCTAAGCATTTGTAGTTCTTTTTTTTTTTAAAAAGATGACCGGCAAGGGGATCTTAACCCTTGACTTGGTGTTGACAGTACCACGCTCACCCAGTGAGCTAACCAGCCATCCCTATGTGGGATCCGAACCCAGGGCCTTGGTGTTATCAGCACCACACTCTCCCAAGTGAGCCATGGGCCGGCCCTAACATTTTTAGTTCTTATCATACTTTTCTCCAGGTCTCCAAGTAGTAGGCATATACAATTATTTCTTGATTTATCAAAATGACACTATCAAGTAGTCAGAAGACTTCCTTTTTTTTTGTCTTTTTCGTGACCGGTAAGGGGATCGCAACCCTTGGCCTGGTGTCACCCGCACCATGCTCAGCCAGTGAGCACACCGGCCATTCCTATATGGGATCCGAACGGACGGCGGGAGTGTTGCTGTGCTCCCAGCGCTGCACTCTCCCGAGTGCGCCACGGGGTCGGCCCTTTCTTTCTATGAATGAAAAGAATTTGTGTCATGGACATTATCCCCTTCTCCTTTCCAACCTTTGATAGTTATTACTTTAGTTCTTTTATTCGATGTTTTTGTATCTTTACATAATATACTTAAACCTTGATTTTAGAGTCCAACAACACTAGGTTGTATCTTTTAACTCCCCCCTATATTAGATGAGGATTTAGACTAAGAAAAACTTTACTGAAGTAGAGAGAGCATTTAAAATTAGACTGGATGAGATGATAAAGGGAAGTTTGGATGGACCTATAACAAAATGTTGTTGTAGGAAACAACATCTTTGCAGCATAAGATTTGCAGATTAGAGATGAGAAATTGCCTGACAATGATAATTGTTCGTTTTGGAATTACCAGGTTGCAGTGTTCTTTGACAGTCTTCTGGGGAATTTTAGTGTGGGAAAGAAATCTGGAAATGTATTAAAATGACTTTGAGTGTTCTTTCCTGGCTTCTATGGCAATCGTTAATGCTTTTAGGAAGGAATGGAATGCTTTTAGGAAGGAATGGATTGGTGTGGACATGTGTGTGTCTTTTTTGGAGGGGAGGGAGTAATGAGAAAATGTGATAAGAAGGAGAAAATGAGGGACAGGGTTTGATGGAAGTGGTGAGAGTTTGGGGGGAGGCTGAAGAAAAGGGCATTTGGATATAGTTAATGTGAAGATTTACTTTATAGTGGTGGGATTGGAATTCGTGGCAGTCATAAGGAAATTAGCAGATCTAAGTTATTAATATGTTGGGAATATGGTGGAAAAAACTATGCTGCTCATATATTAGGACAGAGTCATAAAATATTAGTGTTTTTGAAATTTGTGTATGAGGTGCAAGTCAGCATGATGGATATTGGGAGAATAGAAAGATATTGTTTCACTTTTAGGATGTCTTTAAGTAACTGTCTCTTGAGAGTCTTCCTTACTTTCAATAACAGCAGTATTCACATGTAGATGCTATGTATTCCTAAATTTTATGTTTGCTTATGGGAATTATTCTCTCTTTGTTTTGTAAATGGTAACTAGATTGTAACCTGCTCTGGAGCTAAGACTTTCTTTAATCTCTGAGGAAGCTCACAACAGCTTGATCCTTAAGTGCTTATTAATTACCTGTTGAATGACTAATAGAAAATATTGTTCAGTATTAGTAATAATACTAGTGGGACTGTAGGAAATTGCTGAGTACTATGGGGTATTGTAGGCAGAATTGTGTCTGTGTGTCTGTGTGTGTATTAGATTGAAGGACACAAGGGATATCTGACTAGGGACGACCATTAGATTTAAGGGAAGAAGACATAAAATGGGTTAGGATGGAACTGTAACAATCCTGCACAAACATAGAAGGGGTGGGACCAATGGGTGTTTTTAATCTGAGGCTAGTTTAATCTGGAGTAAATGTGGTCTGGAGCAGGGTGCTATTTTAATTTGTATTTTCTTACCTCAGGCATAAATGACTGTTTAGAGATTTTTAGGGCTGGCCAGTTAGCTCAGTTGATTAAAGTGTGGTGCTGATAATACCAAGGTCCAGGGTTCAATATCTATACCAGCCAGCCACCCCGCTTCCCCCCCGCAAAAAAAAAAGATTTCTAGCTATTTTAAGAATCTATCTGATTTGATTTAATTCATTTTTAGGGTAATAAAGAATATTAGGTGAAGTTTTTCCCCTCTAGGAATTACAGTATTGACATCCTTTTGGGGGAAAATGACAGTTGTGAAATAATTCAGTAACAGTGTAAGATTTCAGAAAATTGATTTTTTTAAAACAAATATCAAAATTATATCTCCAGATGAGAATTTTTATATTTTTGGTAGTCATTTTCAGTAGTAGTGATCAGAACTTTTTTGGAACACCTTTTCTTTCTTTCTTTCTTTTTTTTTTTTTATAAAA